CACCAGCAATATGTGGTAATAAATTGAACCACAATAATTTTGGTTTTTGATACTTAATTAAATATGTAATTTAAAAAAAAGGGAAAAGTTTTAGGTAAATGCCTACCTACCCTATTGATAAATTACGAATTGTCAAAAAAGTTTCCTCTGATAAACTGCCAAACCCGAGGCCAAACCAAACCAGTCAATGTCGATAATTGTTATTTTGACAGCAGGTAGATTATCGGATATAACGACCCAATAGTCAGGGTCCCATCAATGTCGCTATAACCGTATTTTACGGTACCGTATCTTTCATTTTGTATTTTACATCTTGATGGAAATGATTCCTGCTCGGATTCGTGTTAATGAATACATTCATTGAAACTAATGACTCACTCATTAAATGTTATACATTTAGCTTTTGTTCCCAAAACTGTAAAGTTTAACATATTCAATTTTGTTTACATAACCATAATTAGCATGTTTATAATTTGCGAAAACTTATTTTGGAAATGGCACAGCATGTGAAAAGCAGCTTGCATCCTATTCCCCGACTACAAAAAATGTGTACATAAATAAACAAAATTAACATTGATTTTATTGGATTTCTGGAACTCTGGAATGGTGCTGATTGTACTAGCTACTTTTTCTACTCTTTTTAATTTCCAATACATACATAAGCATTGGAAATTAATGCCAATTTATGTGGAGAGTTTTTTTATGCATTATAGGATCTGCGGAGGGATCTACGTAACGTTTTAATTCAACACAATTTTTAAATAACTCTTGAGTTGAAATAGGAATTATGAAGCACTGTATCACGGAAAATATAGATTTTTGAGAACAATATTTTTTTCTGAAAAAGTTCCCTCTACATAAATAAAATTGCCATTGGAAATCCAGTGGGGATTCAGCCTAAGGGAGTTTTTTTTTTTAAATTCCAACCAGAAAACATACCTAAGAAGTATTTAGGTTCCATTAGGAATTATGCAATATACATAATATGTGAAATGATCAAAACGATTTTTTGGTGGATAATATTATGTAAAGTGATTCAAAACAAAGTGATTAATTAAAGTTTTGTTGACCTCTAACCATAAAAATCCAGTTTGTTCAAAATATCATTCAACAGTTTGTAAAGAATACTGTGGATACCAGTTTTAGAATAAAGGCGGTTCCCCTGCAAATAAACTCAGTTAATATTGATAGTAAAAAGGTAAGTATCCTAATGGCTTTTTTTTGGTTCAGTTTTCAAGAAAATAAAAGTGTTGCGCTTCCCTGGGCGCACGAGAAATTTTGAAAAGAAATGGTGGATTTATACAGCAAATAACATAAGATAAGAATTGGAAATGCCTTCATATACTTAGCAAATAAAATATAAAATGAAAATTTGAATACCTACCAATAGGAATTCACAAGAAACGTCTGGGCAGATTTCCGGAATTGTCGAGTTTTAATAATCATTTCTCTCAAAACTTTTCAAAGGATAACGACTTGGCTAACGTGGGATTTTTTTGCTCTATAGATTCTGCCAATTAAATGATATGACTAATAGGATTCAATTCTTTCAGATGAAACCAAATATTGCACGTATTACGGTTTGTGAGATATAAGCGCTGCCAGATGGACATTTTTGCGTAGAAATTGCCGTGTATATATTTTGAAAACTGCGATAACCTATTTTTTATTTATTTATTTATTTATTTATTTATTTACTCAATACAGTATCAACAGCAGCATTTTGCCAATTACAGATACCAGCTTAATTAAAAAATATAACATAAAACTATAAATATATTCACAACACCTAGACCTAGACACTAGACACATTCTGTTTTGATAACTTTTATCTATGATAACTTTAACAGTGACACAAAAGAATTGAAGAATTTCGTATCTTAACAGTGACACAAAAGAATTGAACAATTTCCTATCAACTAGTTTTTTAAACATTTTCAAAATCAACATTATCAATGTTGATATTGAAGGCATACAAATTGAATGTATTACACATTTTATAAATCAGCGAATTTTTTTAGAGATTTGTCCGAGGACGCATTAAGTAAAAGACATTAGAATTACGTGAATTAACACGATTCACTGCGAATGGCAATTGTGTTAAAACATTAGGACTGTCGATATCACCCTTAAGCAACTTAAACACCGTACAAAGTAGGATTCTAATTCTCCGCTTATTCAGAGACAGTCTACCAAAGATACCAAGGAGGTATTAACCATCACACCCCCGAGGAGGATAGACTGCATAAGCCCGATAATAAAGGACGGATTGGAAGAAATTTCCTTTCCACCCTTTCGACATATGTTATCCATAAGACATATTGCGGTGACTAGATAATGCATCCATACTCCAAAATTGGTAAAACAAGGGTATCAAAAAGGGGCAAACTCACATCAATATTCAAATTTTTGGTGTTTCTTGTTATGAAACCAGATATTTTCTGCGTGCTGTCTATCTTCGAAGTAATGTGCTTAGAGAAGGATAATGACGTATCAAAAATTACACCCAGCTCCTTTTGATTTTCGACTCTGTGAAGCCGCGAACCATTAAGTGTATAGTCATAGCGAATCAAATCATGCTTAAGACTGGAAGACATACAAGAACATTTAGCAATATTTAATTTAAAATCATTTGTATTGCACCAAGAGGCCACGTTACAAAAATAATTTTGGAGAGTTTCGCAGTCAAAGGTAGAGTCTATTTGAAGAAAACACTTAAAATCATCCGCTAAAAGTAAAACTCTAGCCATCTCCACACTATTCACTATATTATTTATTGCAGCCAAGAAGAGTAGTGGTCCCAAGTTTGAGCTGTGTGGAACACCAGACGTGCTTTTGTAGATTACCGATTTACATCCTTTAACTTCAACATACTGATGCCTTTGGGTCAGGTATGATTGAATCAGCTCTACAATATACGAGGACACATCCATGTCCGACAAAGCCTTGAGAATGACACAATGCCTAACCCTGTCGAAGGCTTTTTCCATATCTATATAGACCACATCAACTTGAGATTTATTGTTTATTGCTTCATGAATGTATTGAGAAACAGTGATCAGATTAGTTAAAGTTGACCTCTTGGGAAAGAAGCCATGCTGGCATGATGTGATCCCTCGTGTGATCCTATACCAGATATCTCACCGAACAATACCTCGAAAATTATCACTTCAAATATCTTTGAAACCGTAGACACTATGCTAATTGGTCGATAATTCTTAATATCCTGTCTGGAGCCAGACTTAAAGATAGGAATCACTTTACTAACCCTCCATCTATTGGGATAACTAGAAGTTTTCAAAATTAGGTTAAACAAAATCTCCAAGGGTTTTAGAAGGTGTTCACAGCATCCCTTCAAAACATAGGCAGGAACACCATCTGGGCCGATGGATCTGGTTGCGTTTATTTTTGTGATAGCCCTCTCTATATCTGAGAGAGATATCTCCTCTAAAGTATGTTCCATTCTCAAAAGTCATACATCCTCGAATATGTCTGCTGAATCTTTAAGCTCCTTCAGGTTTGAACAGAAAAATTTCGGATTTACTCTCAAACTCCTCTCTACATCCTCCAGATACTGTTGATGAGCAAGCTTAATCTTATCTTTAATGATAGTACGTGTATTATAGTTACACCTCCAATATTGTGATTTGTATTTTTTAGATTTTATAAAATATTTATATTTTTGTTTTATTAGCTTAATTATTTGACAATTAAACCAGACAGGATACCTCTTTACCCACTTGAGTGGACTTTGGGACACATTTCTCAAAAATGCCACTCAAAGCAACATAAAAACAATCTACTGCAAAATCTATATCAGAACTGTTTTCTAAAGCTTCCCAACTTTGATCTTTAAAAAGTTGATACATCAATAAAAAATTTGCTTTTCCAAAGTTAAATTTAGTTATTGATTTAAGTTTGCAGTGCTGTGCAATAGATCCAGTCTGTATACCTACATACTTCCAGACATGGATGATGTTGGTCTATTGGTAAGAGGAAGTCAACAGTTCTGTGAACTTGAACACTATCAAAAGATGCAATGACTAAGTCTAGAATAATTTTATTGATGTTTCTGGTTTGATTATTATGCAGTCCCAGTTATTCCGGATCAAATTGGATTCAATCTGCTCAAAAAACCTTTCATAATCTTCACTTGGACTATTGGGGACAAAATACACTACGACAATATTCAAAAACAAATTATGATTAAGCTTAATTTGAATACACAAGGCATCTTGATTAATATCAAATATCTTTAGTTCCGATACCACCAAACAAGCCTTAATTGATAACAAAACTCCTCCACCCTATTTCTTACCCGTTGACGGTCAATCCCTGTCCTTTCTAAAAGTTAACCTGTTCCCAAAGCTGAATTCCGCAGAACCAATCGAATCATTCAACCACGTTTCCGTTAGAGCTATAATATTTGCGAGTGACCTATCCTGTCAGTATTCTGACTGACAAACATTGTCGGCAGTTCGATTAAGTTTTCACACTACTCTAATAATTTTTGTTTTCCTCGATAGCATGATAACATTAAATCTCAAGACAAAAGGTAGTATTTTAGCATTCAAAAATTGCCATTTTTGCAATTTCTTTTTTTATTTTTGATGAGGGAGTACCTTCCAATGTATTCAAATTTTGATAAAACAAAATATATAATGTATTATACGGTATAGATAAATGGTGAAACAGTCTCGTCCAAACCACATTTTGCTATCTTTATCGGTTTGCATTAGTTTGCAAGTTATTGATTAAGCCGCGATATGTGCAACTTCGCATTAAAAAAAAGGTAACATTGAGCTAAAATACAATTTAAAAAGGTTGTATTGATAAATTAATATGTGCAATAACCATTCGATAAACAACTAATAATTCAATTGGATTTTTGCTCAAGTTTAAGTTCAGTGACTATCGATCATTCTAGATCACAATCATCTTTAAAATAGAAGCTTTATTTTTATTGAGGTTTTTATTATAATTTTTTTGTTTTATTTTAGCGTAAGAAAATGTCAATGTCCGACGACATATACCACACACCCCGCTACCTATCATGGAGAAAAATGCATTTGTCCAAGGCCAAGTTAAAAGCCTCCAGCAAAACCTCGGCTCTTCTTTCTGGATTTGCCATGGTAGCCATGGTGGAGCTACAGCTCAACAACGAGTCATCCATTCCATCTACAATTTTAGTAGTGTTTGCAGTGATTACTACTTTATTGGTAGCAGTGCATATGCTAGCCCTAATGATAAGTACCTGTATACTTCCGAATATAGAGACTGTATGTAGTTTGGACTCTATAAGTTGTGTTGATGAATCTCCTCATGAAAGACTTCATTGGTATATAGAAATAGCTTGGGGGTTTTCAACACTTCTAGGTCTAATATTATTCCTAGCCGAAATAGCCATAATTTGTTGGCTTAAATTTTACAATGTTAATACCACAGCTGCTTGGTCAGCTTGTGTAGTATTAGTACCTGTCCTATTTGTATTTTTAGCGTTCGCTATACATTTTTATAGATCTTTAGTAGCCCATAAATACGAAATTAGTATGAAAGAATTAAAGAAAATGAACGAACAAATTGGAGATGTGTCAGGTCATAGATTTTTCAAAGGCGATTCGGTCGCCAATAGTATTCAAGTTGTTTAAAATAATTGTTTTGATGAAATCAAAACAAATTTGGCTGTGTTAAAGTACTTTTTTGACAAATATAATCTTTTATTTCCCTACATTTCAATATCTACTATCAAAGATGTAGACATTCTTATTATTAGCAAAGTTCAGGGCCCGTTTTAAATATATTAGTTTTTGACATTAACAATGACTAATATTATTTTTAATTTGAAAATTTTGTTTTGCCGAATTTCTTCCACATTAAGTTGATTTAAAAAGCTTTTAGACTAATTTAAGAACAATGATATAATTCAAATTCTGGTAGATTTTGATGAAATTTTAATGGTCAGGCGTCATAGGCGACTACTTTGGTTTTAAGCATACATAAGGTAGTTAGGAATGATACATGGTCAAATTCCACAGATGCTGGAATTTTTAGATGGTTTCTCATTGGCCATACAGATGTGAAGGATAATAAGTAAAGAGTACCTACATGCAATTTATATTACACACATTTTCAGTGGAGTTTGTTCAATTGCTTTATCCTAGCAATATAAAAATAAAATGTCATGATAAAATTTTTATGGTGATGGAAAAAAAATCGTTAAGAGTTATGCTTGTTACATTATGGCATAACTTTGTTTTTTTATTTGTATTTTTTCTGTATCGGACTATTTAATTTTGAAAAGGAAAAATAGAGAAGAAATAATGGGTTCAGGACTTCAGGGTTCAGGAAATAAAATTCCATTTTTTAAAAAAAAATACGCCGACGTTTCGACCATATATTTGGTCTTCTTCACAGGCTATTTTTACCAGCAAGGGCGTTTCCCATCAAACAAAGTGTAGAAAAACTAATTTCTCTTTGAACATTAAATAATACATTCGTTCTTGCATGATATTAAACTGATTAATGATACGAATTCTTCACACCCCGTGGATTCTAAGCCGGAATTCACGGCCTATCTACAATCAAATTCTCCGTATCTTTAGAATACACGGGCCGCAACAAGACAATACAAACAAAACATGACTGACGTCTACTGTCAGATCACGAAACTTTCGTTTTAAAAAAATTAGACTTTTGATGATTGTTATTTCTTACAAAAACTAATGATTTTCTTTCAAAAAGTTTCAAGAGAAAGTATAGCCTTCTACTAGCAAATAATGACTATTATTCACTCGAATGGTTCCAACACTCGCCTTCGGCTCGTGTTTGAATTTTCATTCTCGTAAATAATAGCCATCATTATATGCTCATTGAAGAATATACTATTAGTCGCTGCTGTGTTTGTCAACTTACTTGTTGCGTTTATAATAATTAAAAAGTAAAAACTGAAATAAAAATAAATATTCAAGTGTTAGAATTGATCGAGGAACTGATTTTGTTTGTCCCTTTGTGTTTTGGAATGCTTACAACACTATTTTTTGACAGGAAACGCCCTTGCTAGTAAAAATAGCCTTTGAAGAAGACTAAATATATGGTTGAAACTGAAACTTCGGCATCCTTTTTTTAAAAAGTCCTAAACCCATTATATCTACTTTATCTTAAATACTAAGCACGTTATCTGTATAATGTCGAAAAAGGAAAAAGTGTTTTTATTTGTGCGCATTGAAAAAAAAAAAACATATATGACTTGATTAGTCTAATAAAATATCATTAAAGTTTGCCTGAATTATCAGAAACAAAACACTCACAAAATGTACAAGGTGGCCATTTTTGATGTTCCAGTGAGCTATATCGAAAATCAGAAAGCTTATTGAGTCCTATATACTTGAATGTTTTTTAAATGATCATTGTAGGTAGGTGACAAATTCCTTTTAATATTTTTTATCAAATTTGATTTCTTTGTACGGTCTTGACCAAAGTCAAAGATAATCCTCCTTCGGAGTAGGATTATCTTTGCCAAAGTCTAATTTCTTCAAAGTTTTCTACACAAAGCATGATATGTAAATTTGCATCTTGTTATGTGAAATCAATAACAAGACTTTAAATTCACTGTGTGAAATTCTAATTTATTAGAAATTGCCTCACAAAATTTTTAAAAAAAATCAATACACATACTTCATCTCATAACGAAGGTACACTAGATGATAATTAAAATTTTTGTTTTTTTCCTACAAAACGGAATAAATACATTTTACTATGACAAAAATTACTAAACTACAAAATTACTTACATTTTTAATGATAATTTTATCTACTTATACATTCATTTATGCCAGGTATCCTGAAGTTCCTACCTGTGCCTTTAGGGCTTGATTCAGGGATTTAGGTATTTGCTATAGAAAAGCACAAGTTTTGGAAAATTTTGAATGCATTGGGATCTATTAGGAGACTAGACTTTGCTTTTTTGTATAACTTTTAAAAAGGAATGAAATAAGTAATATAGTACTTAAGTAGGTAGTAGTAAGGTATTAATGAAAAATCTCATGGACTGTGATTACTTATAAACCCTGGCAATGTACTTTCATTTGTGTATTTTATGGAAAAATAAATTCTATTTTATTTCTAATAATTTATTTTGTTTACTGTTGCGCTTCTTTACAGGAAAGTATGGTGATTCTGGTATTTACGTAAGAGAAAAGACGGCATTGTAACAACATAATTTTAATTTTAGTTCAAGTTCAAATATCGATAGTACCATTAAAATATAATAGGATTGTCATATAAATATGGTTTTAAGTACCTACCTATACATATAAATGGAAATGTGACAAGGTAAAAGTGGTTTAGTCTTGGAAACATTTTCTAAACAGTAATAAAACTACCTAACTACTAGTCACTTATGAGAAAAATAAATATATGCCACATTTTGGATCTGGTTTTGTTAATTGCGTTAAATTATTCACCAATAAAATTATGTTTATTAGACTGTGGTCCGAATATAACCACCGTTGTGGTTTCGCGGTCCGAAAGAAATCAAATTACTCTGGTTCCTAGAAAGTTGGTTACTTTTGGACCTCGGTGTCCTGAAATCTGATTAACCAAATGTCAACATAGTTATCGGATGTCGGTTCTGTTGGTTTTATCTGTAATTTCTGTCAATTATTTTTTATTTCATATTCGCGTTCTCGAAGTACATAACCCGAATTTTCAGTAACCATCTGTCAACTCATTCGGTTACTTTGGTTAACGTTGGGTTATATTCGGGCCATAGCCTTAGTGAAAACACAGTAAATTCATGCTAGACTATTTACTCTTCCAGTGAATGTGATAAAATTAAAGTAGGTTCAGTAGGAAGAATTTTATGAGCAATAAAATATTTACCTACTAGTTACATCCAATCGAAAGAGCGGGTTTAAATTAATCAAAAAAATCTAACATCATCTTCAAATGACCATTTTAAACAGAATATAGAAAAACTATCTATCCCCTTTTCGACCTGGTTTGGTTTGTTACTATTCACACCAATTTAAGTAACCTCAGAAAGTAGTAAAAAGAATGTCATAGAATTGAACAAAAAAAATTTGCAATAGCAACTAATTCTACCAGTGATTAAAATTAACTCCGTTGATAAACTGAGCCTTTGAAGAGTTCCTACTACACCAATAATTATTTTCCTACAATAAAAGTTTTAATTTAACCTAATAACTAATTTTTTCAAAATCTTTAAAAAAATTATTATAATCACTCATTAATTACTCTCTGTTCGAACATATCTCAAATATATTTCATAAATCACTCAATTTTGTCTATATTCTACTTCTAAGCCAACAATTAACCATTGTAATTTAAATCAGTCAAAATTCAATAAAAAAAGTCAACAATTAAAAATATTTTCTTAACTCCTCTTAAGGAGTCCTGGGTGTTCCTCAGAAATCTATGTCTGGAAAAAACTGCTGCTGAGCTACAGATGACAATTCCATGTCGATTGGTTTGGTATCGTCGTAGAGAGAGGGCGCCTCGCAAAGAATTGACACTGTACCGACCAATGAGGTGATAATGAAGATCCAGAGGAACATCCGATCGAGTACCATCGCGACGAAACCCCAGTCTTGATCTTCCTGTTGAGAGATTTTTTACTTGAAACATTAAGAAAACACTCCAGTATCGTTTAAAAACATTTTCTCTTTTTTCTTAATTTCACAATGTTTGTTGTTGCGAAAAACATTACTAAGTTGAAGTTGGCCCAATCAAAAAGAATTATTATGTTTCTATAGAATGGGAAAGCAGATGTTAAATATGCAGAAAAAGTAGAGAAAATAAAGACATTCAGATAAATCCGTTTCTTTAAGATACAAACCAGTTTTATGAACAAGGCAATCAAAAATTAGCGAAACAGATCAACTCTTCAGTAGGCACCACATAAGCCAAGAAATAATTGAATACGTAAAAAATAGTGATATTATTTCATCAATAGAACTCTTTGCTAGTTACATTTATGTAATACTTATGTATTTGAAGGTGATTTTATTTAGTATGTAGTTTGAATGCTGTAAGCCATTCAAAGCGATCTACAAAGAGAGCTACATACAAATACTTGTCATTTGTTTAGTTTTTGCTAGAACACAGAAAGAAGCAAAATTGAGCAAAATCTGGAGAATGCCGTAGCAATTCGTCCTAGAAAAATTGCACCTAAGACGATTATGAGCTTCAGCGATAAAAAAGTTATGGAGAGAATTGGCCTATTATTTCCTGTTGACTTTTATTTGACACAAAGTAATGGAACATTCAATTCATAATTGCAAAAAATGCAGTAAGTCCTACTTTATGATAAGAGACAGGTTCTATGGCAAGATGGCGGTCGGCCAATGGGTATTTCAATTTCTCCAGTGGAAAAGATTTCCATTGAATGGTTTGAAGAATCTGCCATTGAAACCTTTCAACTTTTGCTATGCGTATACTAATAAAACACCAATCATCCGATGAGAATCTTACCGCATTGAATTGATCTTGTCTCTGGATATGGTGCTGGATAAACATTACATTATGTATGGCCTTCTCCAGTTCGAAAGGATATTTTTTCCTCGTTCCCGAATCGCTTTCGTCCAGTCCTGAAAATACTGAGGGCAGACCGTTATATCCCATCCTAGTACTCAAGGTACCTGCGAACCCTCTGAGCCTGGAACGAAAGTAACTATAAAAATAAATATGAGGTCACACTAATGGAACGGCTAAGACCTAAGGGGTACTTTGATATTTGTACACTTACCTATTGGTGGCAGTAGTTGAATGTAAACCATTACAACCCCTTCCTCTGTTTCTACTAGAGCTAGATGAACTAGAACTTGAACTAGGTGATAGAGCTTCTAAATCTCTAGCTGTTTTCCCCTGCAGCCTCACAGATGGAATTTTTCGAGCTGCCAGCTCTGTTAGCAAGTCTTTTGGTACTCGCATTAATAGTAGTTTTGGTACAGATTTTATAAAAAAGCTTCGCACCCAAGGTGCCATTTTATGGGTACTGGGCTTGCGATAATGAACGTTAAGGATTACTATAGTTATTACTACTGAAAATCCTACCATAACCATTGTGAATAGGATGTATTTCCCTGAAATGCGAACACTATAATGAAAATTTGGATGGTTGTATTTATTTTGAACTTACCTAGTAGTGGTAATGCTAGAGAAGTGGATGGAATAATTTCGGAAATTAGCAAGAAAAACATGGTTTGTGATAAGAGGATGTTAATACACAAGGCAATTTTTTCTCCTGAGTCAGCAGGAAGGTAAAACACCAAAACTGATAGGTAAGATATTCCCACACAGGGTACTATGAGATTAACTGTGTAGAACAAGGTCTTTCTTCGTAAAGTTATATTAAAGAAAATATCTGAAAATATCCAGTATAAATTAAAAATTCAACTTGAAAATTGCCAAACATTATTTATTATTACCTGGATAAGGCTCGGGACAGCAAGGATAGTATTTTTCATGTCTTTCAGCTGGCACTGCCAAAATATCCCATTCTACACTGGGATAGTATTCTCTAAGGTCTATGCCAACTTCTACAATATCTTCACCGGGTTTCTGGTTTATATGTTGTAAATCAATCTGAAAACATGCGTCTACGTTAAATTTACTGTTAGAAAGGCAAAAATAATGATTATAGGTACCTACCTGACTTCCGTAAGTCCAACTTCCAAACTTCATGAAGCAAGTTTGCTGGTCAAAAGGAAAATATCTTACATCAATTTCGCAAGACGATTTGAAAATGGCGGGTGGAGTCCACTGAATTTTTCCATCATAATTTAATACTGCCTTCGTCATTGTGGTTATCACGTATTCGCCATCAGCGCTAAAAAATATATGTACCTACATTAAAAAATATACTGATGAGAAAACTTTGGATTAATTTTCTTTGCTTTTCCATCCATAGACGCGTTTCGACCTATCAGGTCTCATCAGTATGGCTAGGAAAAGCAAAGAAAACCAATCCAAATCAGTGGCGGATCCAGGATTTTCTTCAGGGGGGGGGGGGGGGGGGGCGCAGGCTAAGAATAATCAACAATAATTTTATGAAAATTTATTTTTACTTTACTTATGCGTTAAAGAATGTAGATACAGGGTGGTCCAATTTGGACACTTTTGATCTGAAACGTCAATTTTTGAGTCAGATACATAAAAATGAACTCTCCAGTCTGCTGAGGCTCAAATTTAATGATATCTTGATTGGTGCAAAATGTTTTGCCGCTAGAGGGTGTTTCTCGATTTTGAGCGATAAGGTGAAACCTTCCTAACTTTTTTATTTATGAAAATAATTGATTTCTGTATAAACTTTCTGGAGGTACTTTTCCAAGCAGAATTCAATGACGTATTTTTTATATCTGTCTTATTTTTTTAATAAAAAAAACCTATACAGGGTGGGGCACGAAAAACTTCCCACCCATAGTTTCTCAGGTGTTAGGTGTTTATTCAAAAATCGCTCAGACACGTCAATTTTTTTTTTTGGGGGGCACATTGGGTACATTCAGGCGGTCCCAGCGGACAAATTGGAAGTACATCAGAGAGCCATTGAAAGACGCATTTTAGGAATTTCCCTGAGAGACCACAAAACAAATACATGGATAAGGGAAAGAACCAAAGTCTCCGACATAATAAAAAGAATTGGTTCCCTAAAATGGCAATGGGCAGGACACGTGGCCAGACAAACAGAAAACTGGAGCGGATATATCACTAGATGGAGACCTTGGGAAGAGAGGAGAAGTGTTGGAAGATCCCAACAAAGATGGTACGACGAGATAAAGAAGGTTGCAGGCTTAAATTGGTACCGGGTTGCGCAAAACCGAAGACAATGGTCAAATTTGAAAGAGGCCTATATCCTAAGGATATAAAACGGCTAAAAATGGAAAATGGAAGTGCCTGAGTTTAGCCGCTGGGACCGCCTGAATGTACCCATTTTATTGGTATTTTCACCCCCTACCTGTCAACCCCTAAGTTGGGGTAACAGGTACCCCCAAAATTTCCAATGAAAAAAGATTCGAGTGATATGTCATTTGGTAGCTATTTTCATTAAGATTATATCCCCGAAGTTTTAAGTTGCTACTATTTACCCTGCCGAAATGGCGGCATACCAAAGTTAGAAAAGATTTCGAGGGATTATTCACTGTAACAAGATTTCGGATTTAGCGCGATTTTGAGGGATTTCGGTTGATTTCGAAGGATTTCGGGTGATTTCGAAGGATGATTTCGGAGAATCTCAGGTAATTTCACAAATATTTCAATTTGATTTTAGACTGTTATTTATCTCATAAGTATATTCGAAAGTGTATGTAGTATAAACTGAAAAACGGCCGAAAACGAATTTTGGGCCAATTGCGAGGGATTTTTGGGTATGCGGGATGATTTCTGAGAGATTTCGGCGGATTTCGGAGTGATTTCATGGATTTCGGAAGGTTTTCGGGGATTTCCGTAGGATTTCGGAAAGATTTCGGGGATTTCGGACGAATTTGTGACACGATTTCGGGGAGTGATTAACCCTAACCCCTCGGGAAAACTCGAACAAAAAATATATACCTAAACCTATCGAACTTTATATCATTGAAAGAAGCAAAAGCAGAGCTATTCAATCGGTAATTATTATATAGGGTGTCCAGTGTCCCATCAAAACAATCGGACTCTGGTTAATATCTCGAATTCAGGAATAAATAGAAAAAACTGAGAAAGTCACTGGATTCTCTAGTCACAAAACGGTTCACAATATCATAAAATTTGAGCCTCAGAGTGGGGGTTGATTTTTTTGTATCTCGCTCAGAAGTTAACGTTGTCTATCAAAAGTGTTCAAATTGGACAACCCTGCACATATCAAAAAACCGAAAATAACAAATAAAAATACCTCTAAATAAAAATATAGGACATTTATCTGATAAAAACAAAACGATAAATTGAACAATAGTGTAGCTTGGAAAATTTTCCTATAGCATTTTATTGGAAATTTTTTCCATGAACTTTTATTGGAAAATTCTCTTATAAAATTTTTCTGTCTAGATTTAAAAAAAAATTAGTAGTTTTTGAGGCTCTGAGGGGGGGCGCGCGCCCCCCGCGCCCCTTCCCTGGATCCGCCACTGATCCAAGTTTTGTGCCTGTATGCAAAATAGAAGTAGTAAGACGGTCGAAATTTGATCGTGGCGCCATCTAAGACATCAGTGTATAATAACGAGAAATTTTTTTTTCCTATTTTGGGTTTTCCCAACGAACTGATTTTTGGTCGGCCTATTAGATGGCATCACTAATTACAGCAAAAATTGCTGTTTAGTGTTGAATCCAAGTCTTAGATGACGCCACGATCAAATTTCGACCGTCTTACTACTTCTATTTTGCATACAGGCACAAAATTTGGATTGGTTTTCTTTGCTTTTCCTAGCCATACTGATGAGACCTGATAGGTCGAAACGCGTCTATGGATGGAAAAGCAAAGAAAATTAATCCAAAATTTTCTCATCAGTGTATAACAACGAGAAATCTTTTTTTCCTATTTTGGGTTTTCCCAACGAACTGATTTTTGGTCGGCCTATTAGATGGCATCACTAATTACAGCAAAAATAGCTGTTTAGTGTTGAATCCTTGTCTTAGATGGCGCCACGATCAAATTTCGACCGTCTTACTACATCTATTTTGCATACAGGCACAAAATTTGGATTGGTTTTCTTTGCTTTTCCTAGCCATACTGATGACACCTGATAGGTCGAAACGCGTCTATAGATGGAAAAGCAAAGAAAATTAATCCAAAATTTTCTCATCAGTGTATAATAACGAGGAATCTTTTTTTCCTATTTTGGGTTTTCCCAACGAACTGATTTTTGGTCGGCCTATTAGATGGCATCACTAATTACAGCAAAAATTGCTGTTTAGTGTTGAATCCTTGTCTTAGATGGTGCCACAATCAAATTTCGACCGTCTTAAAAAATATATCTACATCTAAACAAGCCACCTCAAATTTGGAAAAAAATATTGCATCACGCGTTTTAATTGGTCCACCCTGTACGTTATATTTAACTTACTTATTGTACAAAAGTATATCTGGCAACCAAATATGTTCGGAAGGAACATACAGTTCTTGAACACCACCATATTCCTGCGGATCCCACATAAACTTATAGTCATGCCATTCCTGAAAAAAATTATTATTAGACAATAGATATAGTTTTTTTTTTTTTTTTTCTTACATGTTCCAACCAGACGTTTGTGGTTAAAATTTGGTCCTTCAAATTCTAAAAAAATTAAAATCTCTTTATCACGAATACTTTATTGGAAATGAAGTTTCATTATCTGGAACAAAACTTTATTTCCGAAAAAAGAAAAAAATTATTGTCAATTTAATTTAATTAAATGGTTGAATTAAATATTATGAAATATTTCAGGATATTAGAATAGATATTAAACTTGTTAATGTCTCAATGCTCAAAGCATGCTGTTGAAAATTTAGGCCATGAAAAACAGTAGGTATCCATGCCCTAAATATTATTTATTTGTAGAAATTGCTGCCTGTTGAAAGATTTTATGCGGGAGGCATCTTTTGACATTACTTTTATGGGTGGTTGATCACCAAAACCGTGTGAACCACCCCCCTAAAAATTGCTTTTTTTTTGCAATTTATAAAATTTAACGACCCGCCATTTTGACTGTTGGGCTGAAAAAAGGACGGGGTTATTTTAAGGGTAAAAAGACCTTTGAAACAAGGTATCATTCGATCCTCCTTTTAATTTGGAATTATTAATAAGCAATGTCAACAAAATAGTCCCCCACACAACATCTTTCGACTTCATTATGCCAACCATTATTTACCACATTGCACTTAATGAAATCCATTATAAATTTTGAAAGAAACCAAAAAAGTATTTTTATTTTCTTCAACAGAAAATTCCGTCTTTTTCCATGATTTGAACAGAATCTGGAGACATAAAAGGGTCACAACTTTGGAAAGGTAAGTTGAAGGTTTATTTTTATAATAAGTGAGGATAATGACGTAGGTAAATTTGAACTCATTACACTAAATCACTATAGATTCTATGCCTATAGTCATGGAAAATTGATAATTAGTAATTAGATATTTATTTCGAAAAAAAAAATTACTTATTATGAACAGCGAAATTGACCGTTGGTTGGTAATTAACACGTTGAAGGACACCCGCGGCATTTGACGTCAAACTTCCATTGTGAGAAATGGCATCAAAATTATAGGTGACAGTGTAAAATTGCACCTTGATATCTTTGCCAATTTTTAAGATAAATTAACTTAATTTGTACCAAAAGTGGTCTTTTGATCAGTATTTTCAACATAAATCATAAAAATGTCAGCGTCATATGACGCCAGGTCCAATTAAAAACCATATTGTGCGTAGTTTGCCACTTGCGGGAAATACCGCACATTTTTTTTAATTAAATGAATAGTTTCTCGATCAGTTAAATCAAATATTTTATTAAAGGAACAGAAGACAGATAATAATAATTATTTAAATTATAACAGAGCAGCATTTGGGCATGCCTGGCATTAACACACTCATCGCATAGTGGGGGATTCCCAATATAGTGATTGGCATGGTCAGGGTGTTTCTTTCTGTTTTCTCTGCGAATTTATCAAACACTACCAAAAACAGTACCGAAACACAAATAAATACGCGCCAAATAGGGCACTTGCATGAAAAATTAAATTGAGAATTTCGTACATCTGTCAAAAACTGACATTCCAACAATAAACTGACATGTTTTGATTGTTGATTTGAACCAATCAGATTGGAATTACGCGATAATTTGCACTAGTGCAAATTATCGGATAATTGCATAGTAGGTACCTGGTGCGAGAACTGGTGTTTTGATATTTTTTGACAAAAAACTTAAATTTTTGATTCATGAAATTCTCTCATAAAATACAACTCGAGCAATAGAAATATATCTATAATTTTCGACAAATTTGCACTCATGCGTTGTTAACTGAAAAAGGCACTCGTACACTACGTGCACTCGTCCTCTTTTTCAACTAAAAATGCATTCGGGCATTTCCCCAAAATTATCGATAATTTCCATTGCGCTCGTTATGTTACTATTGATTATTGTTTATTGCAAACTGTGGGAAATCGAAAAAAAAAACAATACGTATTTTTTTATTTTGTCCAAATATGATTATTCCGAAAGTTATACAAATATTAAGTTTTGTATATATAGATATATTGACCATGTGTGACGTCATAGGATATGAAAAATAAGTACATTTCAAAGCATTGTATCTCCGTCAATTTTTGACTAACAAGAAAAAGAAAAAACCCGTGTTGACTTATTTTTTATTGACTAACGAAATCAGCAATAAAAAAAACTGATGCAAGGGGCCTATTTGCTTCTCTTGCGTTCTGGAAAAATAAATTTACTATCCATTTCAAATATAATTTTTTTAAGGTTTCTAGATTGACACCCTATAAGCATAAGCATGTAAAATCGTCGGCAAATAACGCTAGCTCCCACTGAAGCCGAAAAAGTTTACGCGGCATATCCCGTCAATGTCCATGTAAACACAATATAACATGCGGCATATGCCGCTATTGCCCAAATATCAACACGCTATAAAATTGAGTGTCCGTCAACGTGTTAAATACTACGCCCCTTATTCTGAAGCAGGTTTCAGGGTTGGTAGCCTTGCAAAGAAAAAAAACGAAAAAATTCTATTATATTACACATGCGGCAATAGTATATTATACAATGATCATGTAATAATGGCCATTACATGAGAGTTGCATACACTATTTTTTTTACTTGCATTAGTAAACGAAAAACATATTTGTTTTATAAGAATAGTAAACTTCTCAACTGGTGACAATTGTTGACAACGTAACTATTTCAAAAATTAAGATCTAGACGTCATTTGGGCATAAATTCCGCACCCGATTTATTAATTTTTTGTTGTTTCTTCTGGTAAATACTAATAGAAACAATCCAAAATTCCAAAGCAACTCTGTTATTTTTATATAAACATTGTTCATGTTCAAAATACTCGATTCCAGTGGCTGAAAAATCTGTATCATAATGAAAATCTGTATCATAATGAAGTTCATTATGAAACAGATTTTAGGCGTATTATGAAACGTCAGTTGAAAAATATTCTTATTACATTAGTGTGTTTACCACTAGTTCCCCGCACTGATTGAATAGAGCTCATATCGCACTAGTACATAATGTTGTAATGTAAATAAATATTATGCTTTTGAGTCCGAATTTTTTAATAGAACCCAAATACTGATAATGAATTAAAATGCTGAAAAAATACTAGAATACCCAATTAAAAATTGAAGCGGAAGAGATATTTCAAACCAACTAGGATTGTCCTAAACGTACACAACTGGGTGGTGTCCGCACTTAGCAAAACCTATCATATACTATGCTTCTGAAAATAATCCATTCCGAAATATTTCAAAGGAAAATACTAATTGGTTCATTTTGTTATAGAACACTGTAAGTCCAATAAGACCTAGAGATTATTAACCAAAAAAAAAATTTTTAAATCAAACGCTAACTTACCAATTCTATCAGCTGGGAAAGTCTCAATCCCAACTTGACCAGTATATTAGTCGAGTGATTTCTAACAGGTCTTATTAACCTGTTATAATTACTCAACAAGTCATCATAAAGCCTTTTTGCATCCGGATTAGCGGACGTATTGCTGACAAAAACAGCACAGAAGAGTAACATGAAATAACATAATAATATCGACACTGACAGTCCACGTGATTTTTTAAATTTATATTCCATTTTTGATAAATGGATGGAATAAAACTGAATTTATTTCTTCGGTTGCACAAAATGTTTTATTTTCTATATTTTAATTCATATTTTCCATATATTATTTTTCGGTTTTTTCTTCTGGTAGAAACCATAAAAAGTTACAAATATTTTAATTATACTGAATTATTTACCGAAACCAACGTTATACATATTTTCCCCTAAAACATGTGTCACTTCACATATCTTCAGTCTTTAACGTTGACATTGATTATTTAAAATATTGATGAGATAAAATAGTAAAAATGTTCACATGCAAAACTTATTAGCGGAAAATAATCAAATCCAAAAGGCGCGGTTGCGATATTAAAAATTCCGACCGAAAAATCTTTCGGGAAAGGCCAATAGTCCTCCAGCCTGGAAGGAACTGCAGGAAAATCGATAAAGATCCTCCATGGGATGCTGCGCAGGCACGCGGTTTGAAAAGTGCCTATTGTTTTATTACTTTGTTTTATTTGTGAAATAGTGTGGGTGAAGGGATTTATTAATTTCATTCAAACGTAAAGGAGCTTAGAATTACTTGATTTTCAGACAAAAGCCTAATCAAAGCTCCTTATAAGTATCATGAATCTTTGGCCTATACAGGGTGTTACAAATTCGAGTGTGTACATAGGAATCTCGGAAACCATATAAGAGATACCGTGAGATACGAGGTCGTTGAGGTCGATTAAATTAAATATCCCAAAATAAATGTCACTTTCATCATTTCCACTTTTTCTCCTCTAAAAGATGCTACCATCAAATTTAAAATCTGACGGTTCGTCTTTGGCCCCCCAATCACCTTCAACTTTATTTTTTAAAATTCGATCCTGGATTTTTAATTCCAGATTTTAAGAGCTTCTGATGTTCCAAAACCTATGATGTATAGTGAAATTATTTAAATAGTGTATGCACGTGATCAATGACGTCGAAATTATTGCCAATTGCAGTTTGTAAAAAATTAAAATTCGTTTCAAGCTGAGAGCTCATTTTCCTTTTTATTTAACCTTAGTTGAAAAAAGACAGAACACTGTTGGCATTTAACCGAATCGTCCGATGAAATGGCATTTAGGTTGTCACTCGTGGGTTACGTTGCCAAATATTGCTGCAAATCTGCGGTTACTGATTTTAATAATTTGAAATTATTTCTGTCTGTGATTTTCATCGCAATAAAATGCCAAAGCCATTGAATAGTCAGAGTCAGAAGCTCGTTGCGTCTCTAATTAGTTTCTTTGAACAGGAACGTGACAATGGGGGCCTTTTTTGCCATTAAATAGCGTTAGAGAGGTGAAGTATTGATACTATCAAATATAAATCTTCTAGGGCTTTGATTGGGAATATTTTTCCAGCGTGTTGCAGCTGCATTGTATATTGATATAAGCACTGTGAGTACAATCTCTCAAAAAGTTAAGGATAATGTAGTGTTAAATTCACCAAAGAAAAAGCGTCCATATAAGAAGCGAGTTACGAATCAAAATCACCTTGATGTAGCTCTATTCGCAATCAAATTTACGAAGTATAAAAAAAAGTGAGTAGTTTTTTATATTGTGTTCATAATACACTATCTATACATATGAAAATCGATGTTTGTTTGCTTGTGATAACAAATTTTACTAGACATGGTATGTCAAAGTAAAACGAAAGTTAATAGCGGCAACATTGCGACGTGCTTATGTCATAAATTTTGATCACATGCATACACTGTTTAATTAATTTCACTATATCGCATTTATTCGAAAGGGTTATTCATGATGGCAGTAAGGTGGTCAAAAGAAGCTATTATTTTGTTTCTCCAAATTTTCCGGTGCCGCCAAATCCACATTTTTTCTGTGCTCAAACGTTGCCATCCATTCATTGTATCTCATAGTTTCTCGGATTTTTTATGTGTCTGTCATTTCCCGATCTAGCGATTATTTCACAAGGAAAAGGAGGTTGAAAAATACCGGGTTTTCCATTTGAAAATCAAAAGTTATTCCGATTTATTATTAGTTGGTTATTAGCTATTCCGGTTAAATTGGAAATGGCTCGAAATGCAATTTGCTTTCAAGAAACTCAAAAAGTTGCCTCAGTTGAGCTTCCCAAATTTCTAACCTACTTATTAAAAAAGTTATAAGCTGCGCCCTATTGGTTGTGACTTGTGACACCTGGTATACCTAACAAAATTATAAAATAAAGTTGTATTCGAGATTCCTAAATTTATCTTGAAACGATGAGACGCGAGTTCAAAATCTCTGATCAACCGATTGTATGAAAATTTAAGTTCCTAGGAAAATAGTAGTATTTTTCTGCTTCTTGAGACAAAATTATGGCGCGAGATACAGTGGTAAACTTCTGAAGCTTGCATGTCAAAAATAAACATAACACCCACAAGCATACATGTGCTATTCAATGTTTTATTCAATAAAATGCTAATAATTATAAAACTAATAAAAGTTTAAGAGAAAATATAGTAAAATCATAATCATAATCAGGTATATCCTACAAATTTTGATGCATATTTATATATTTATATATTCCTAATCAGAATTAAACGCTCTTTAAGATAAAATAAAATTGAATAATTTATAATATACAGGGTGTCCCAGCCGAGAGTGACCCATTTTAAATGCTTATAACTTTTAAACCAGGTGTGCTAGCTACCTGCGGTTTGCGCCATTCGACTTCTCTTGGCCTAAAGTTTTTTTTAATAGGTTGCAAATTTTTTTGCCTCTTAATGCAGGGCGAGTAAAAAAAAATCCGTTTTTCAACATCGAAATTCTCCACTATTTTTAATGTATATCACAACGTCAAAAAAAAAGAGTCATGTTTAAGGTATTCATGTACCAATAAACATCGTCCTTTAAACTTGAAGTTTTAGCCGTGAAAAATTGAAATCGAAATCCTGGTATTTTTGCAAAAGCATCATGCAACTTCATGTTGTAGGTACTTGCTATCACCAGGTATGGCAAACAATTTTGTAAATATCAAAGTTAGATATCAACTTAGTTAACATTTTTCCATGAGAATTTAACAAGATCCAGTGAAAATAGCGAGATACCCCAAAAGTAGCAGTTTGGTATGCAATCTCTGTTGAGAAAAAAACTACGGAACATTTTTCATTAATGAATCAACGATAATAGGAACTGTTTACACTGATACGTTGGAAAATTTGTTTTATCCACAATTAAGATGGGAGGGTCTCTTGAACGATATCTATATTCAGCAGGATGGTGCCTCACCTCATTATTCTTTAAAAGCAAGGGATGAATCACTAGATATGACATTTGGGAAAAGATAGGCAGGGAGAGCTGAGACCTGGTCCTATATCTCATAGAATGGACACCTTACTCTCCCGACTTGACAGTTCCAGACATTTTTCTCTGGAAATATGTCAAGGAGAGATCCTGTAATCCTTTGCCAAATAGCCTGGGAGATGTTAAGTGGAACATTCGTAATGTCATTGAAGCGATTCCCCAGGAAATGTTACACAATTTATTCAACCATTTACTGATCCATTAATGCGTGGAACTTAATGGCTAACATATACAGCATTTTTTATAGTTTTATGCAGTTTTTCTTCTTCTAGTAGGCAAACATAATTTCCAAGCTTTGTAAATATGCTTAAAAAAATACCAGGATTTCGATTTTAATTTTTTACGGCTAAAACTTCAAGTTTAAAGGACGATGTTTATTGGTACATGGATACCTTAAACATTACCTACTCTTTTTTTTGACGTTGTGATATACAGGGCGTTCCATTAAAAATAGTGGAGAATTTCGATGTTGAGAAACGGATTTTTTTTACTCGCCCGGTATAATAGGCAAAAAATTTTGCAACCTACTAAAAAAAACTTTGGGTCAGTAGAAATCGAATGGCGCAAGCTGCAGGTAGCTAGCACACCTGGTTTAAAAGTTATAAGCATTTAAAATGGGTCACTGGGACTGGTATTATAATAGTTTACGAGATGTTGAGCCTCAACGTTGAACTTTGTCTCAAATTTTGGAAAACCTTCAAAGCCGATTATCTCGAAAACGAAGCCTTAGGACTGGGTACCCCAACAAGTCTTTTTTGAAGCCCCAATCAAGATCTACAATTCGACGATATTTGGTACCTACCGATAGCTTGGTTCAGTGAATTTCACATAAATGTTATTAGTAGTTACATAAGATTCACGTTAATATGATATTAAAAAAAACTATACGTAAATGTTATATTATTATGTACAGTGTGTATCAGCCAAATGGAATTAATTCGATAATAAATAAATGGGGAACTTTTCGAAAAATCGCTCGGACACGTCGATTTTATTTTTTTGCTTAAGATTTTTTTTATACGGGGTCTTCTAAGAACAGCTCTACGGTTATCAACTTTATTTTTTCAAATGACATTTCGGGATTCTGCGGAAAATTCTAGACATACTTCATGTACAATGTCATATACCTATTTTCAACTGTTTCGGACATATTGACAGTTGAAAATTGACTTTTTTGCAACTTTGACAGGCTGTAAAACCTAAACGGTTGATTTCACAGCAGAACCGATTTTACATTCTCGTCTGTAGCTTCTCATACGCTATCATTTGACACCAACTTTGAATTTAACCGGAGATTAAATTTAACCGGAATTTTTGATCCGGATCCTCATGGATTAAATTTAAAGTTGGTGTTAAATGATAGTTTACGAACAACTAACCCAAGAATGTATGATTGGGTTTGCTGTAACATCAACCGTTTAGGTTTTACAGTCTGTCGAAGATGAAAAAAAGTCAATTTTCAACTGTCAATATTTCCGAAACAGTTGAAGATAAGTATAGGACGTTTACATGAAATATGTCTAGAATTTTCCGGAGAATCCAGAAATGTCATATTATACAGGAGGTACTATTTAAAAAAATGAAGTTGATAACGGTACAGCTGTTCTTGAAAAACCCTGTATGAAAAAATCATAAGCAAAAAAACAAAATCGACGTGTCCGAACGTTTTTTCGAAAAGCCTCCATTTATTTATTATCGAATTTATTCTATATGGCTGATACACATTGTATAATATAAACGATAATATTAGTAGTTATTATCGCATAAATATTTATATAAATGTGACTTTAATTCACGTTAATCTCACATAATTTAATTTATATCCTCATTTCTATTCGCTTTCACATTACAATTAAAAGGGCAACAGCACTCCGCTTTTAGGCCAGGCAATGAAGGAAAAATAAGGGAAAAAAATCGTGTAGAAGCCAACTTTGGCACAGATGTAGGTGAAGGTGTCCTAAATAACATACTATAGAAGTCCTGGTGCGTGGGGAGCGAGCTAAAGTGGTAAGGGGTCTCTGAAGGTATTTTTTTAAAACTTTTTCCTAAATAAAAAATATAAGAGTACTAAATTATTCTACATGAAATTCTCGATGAAAAGGTTCGCTTTATATTTTCGCTAGTATTAATACGCACGAAATAAGGATGAAGGATGAAGAAAAAACGATATATTTAACCCGGGAGTACCTACACGCGTGTCGGTCAAAAAGACCGACCATTGATAAAATCAGTAATTACGCCACTGGTACAAGGGTGGCAGTTTTGTCCATCCAGGAATGCTTGATGCAGGTTTTCCACTACCCATTGGCCCAAAAGTATTTTGGTTTTGGGTTGAAGTATAGTTCGTTGTTCTCATAGTCGGTGCTTTTGACTAGGCGCGTGAACCTGAGTATCTAAAATATTTGTGTTCAAAATTGGCATTTTCTGATAATGGGAGTACTTTTGGCCGTCGATAATACGGTAACTGTACTGCATAATATAATTGCCTTTGTAATGATTATGAATTCTAGGAATTATAGTGCTTGTACACTTTTTTCGCGGAAACGATCCCAAACATATTCTTACGCACGTAATATTTGATAGTTTCATGTCTCTATTGATTAGGAAACCTGCGTAGGTCATGTATTAGCATTCAGGATACGTTTGGGATCGTCTCCGCGAAAAAAGCTAATAATTCATATAAACTTTTGGGCAGTCGGTCAATTTGACCGAACGCGAGTAACGACGTAAGTTTTTTGACGCGTGTAATGACGGGTTAAAAACTAATTTTTATTGATTGATATAATATCAATTGACAAAAGTAAACTAAACAAACGTGATACAGCCTTGATGTGGATATTATTTATCCTGTTCATCTGAATCCACATCAATGTCGACGTCATCGTCAACAAACAACAGTGGGCCCATTTATACACGTGCCAAGGCATGTGCTAATACTAACTAACCCAAACCGTGTTTCTCACAATAGTGTCCTAAAAACCATTGATAGTGCTATCGATAGTTCCCGACTTCTTGCTAAAGTCTCCTCGAACATTTTTGAGTCTGAAATTCAATTCCAAAAGAAAACCACAAAGTCTTCCTCCACAAAATACTTCAATCATGTTAAAGGGCCCTACATGTTTCGAGGATAGAAAAGAAATCCTCATCCTCAGCGGCAAGTTTGCTCACACAATACCAAGTGTTACAGGTCGTTAGAGTTCGTATTTGGCAGAAGAAAAAAAAACATGTGCAGCACCGTACACGTGGTAGAAGTAAAAGTTCTTAAAAACTATCCCCTCTCATACAACTTTTAGACTTAGCGTATGAGTCAGGGTAAAGACGAAGGGAAACGAGCAGCTGTAGTGACGTCACAAGGATATCGGCTCTTGACAATAATCGTTTATAATCCTTGGTTCGTGTCAATCGTTCGTCGGCTGTCATTTTCATGGGCTGTCTTTCTCCGTCCCTCTACGTTATATTTTTCTTCTCTCTCGTGTAACGAAATTTGCCAAAACATGACGTGTGTTTCAAATCACTCTCCATTCTTGTCCAAATATCAGACCGCCGCCTAAGAAATTTCTTTTCAAAAATCACAGCACACAAATGTGTAAATAACGAAAATAATCACAAAACACAACGATAATAGTATAACAAAAGGAAGACGCGCATCTGTAGCGACGTCACAAGGATATATAGACGCTTGTCAATAAAAGGCAATTCTTTTTGCGCTTATAATTCTTGGTTTGTGTCAATCAATAGCTTTCTTTCTCCGTCTGTTTACGTTATATCTTTCTTCTCTCTCGAGTAACGAAGTTTGCCCGTGACGCGTTTTTCAAATTACTCTCCATTTCGTCAAATATCAGACCGCCGCCTAATAAGTTTCACTTCAAAAAGTTATTTATATTTTTTGTTAATTTCCAAATTTCCTAACTTTTTTTTATATTTTAATTTTATTGTCTTAACTTTTCAATCTTTCAGCTTCCTTTTTTTTTCCTCTGCCAAATTCGAAGTCTAGCGACCTGTAACACTTGGACAAAGTTTGCCTCTGAGGATGAGGATTTCTATCTTCGAAGCATATAGGGCTCTTTAACATGATTAAAGTATTTTGTGGAGGAACACTATGTTTTTCTTTAGGAATTAAAACTATTTATATATTTATATAATTTTATAACATAAAAATTCAATTTTTCGAAATACAGGGTGTTACAAGTTTGCGAGTATGTATGGGAAACTCGGTAACCATAAGAGATACAGCGTCCGTTAAATTGGGACAAAGTTCAAAATTTCTTGCTCACTAAAATGCTGTTTCGGAATTTGGAAAATTCCGTATACTTTCAGGGATATTCGGAAAAAAAGGAAATTTTGCAAAATCGTTTTCATTTTTTCCTGAGCATATTTGAGGAGTTAGTTTTTGACTTCCTTATTTAAATGGTGTATCAAAACAATCGATGAAATAAGCATTTCAGTCAAAAAAGTATGATAATTTGTATGAAGATACTCATCTTTGTCAAGCAAAAGCAATTTAATTATTAAGTACTTGCCATGAAATAATGAGATTGACAAAGACAAATTAATGAAGAAAACAATGTGTGTGACAAAGATGAGTAAGTACTATCTCCATACAAATTAACATACATTTTTGACTGAAATGTTCATTTTTTCGATTGTTTGACGTCGGATTTCAAATTTGATAAGGCCATATTGTAGAGGAGAGAAAGTGGCAGCAATAAAGCGTCATTTATTTTGAAGCATCTTCTCAAATAAGCTCAGATAACAAACAATACGATAAAAATGATTTTGCAAAATTTCTATTTTTTCCGAATAGGTTTCCAAATTTTGAAACGGTATTTTGCTAAGCAAGAAAATGCGTAACGTTGCCTTGATTTAACCGACCTGTAACATCCTGTATACCTATTCCTCCCCACCCCACCACAAGTATTAATTATAGCGAGAAAAAAATATGTAAAAACTTTTTTGTAGGAAATTTTTCGTAGAATAGTTCAGTACTTCAGTAATTTCTCCGCTGGAAGCTCTAGTTTTCAAGTTATTCAAGCAAAACGTAAAAAAGGGACCTTCAGAGACCCCCCACCACCTTAGCTATCCTCCCACTCATCAGGACTTTTGGTAGGTTGTTCGGGACACTGGAGTTATATTTTTCAATTTCTATCGTGGGTATTATCATTTTTGGAAATAATCCATAGCAAGACCTTTTTTAAAAAATAGGCAACCAAAGAAAGTCTGCTCGTACAAAGAAAACACAAAATATGAAAAACTAACTACACAAATCTATAGATAACCGATCAAAGAATCCTGGTATTCTTTCGATCTGAACAAACTGATTGTGATCGTGATCACATGAGGTTTGTTCATGAGGCGTCAAAAAACAGCTGGGGCCAATGAAATCGTTTTAAAACTGGATGAAAATTGTTTGAAACAAACCTCAAGTGACATCGATCAGTTTCTTCAGATCGAAAGAATACACCTAATGTTTTGGCCAAATTCGAGCCAATTCTGACGTGCCGCTTTTTTTTGCACCTTCAAAGCGATTTCACGAAAATGGGCCTATGTGCGCATGTTCATGGGGTGCTGGTACCACCTTAAGAAAAAATGGTGGATTTAAAATCAATAAATTCTAAGGCTTATTTTCAAACACTACAATTTTTTGAACTCATATAGGTAAACATAAACATAAGGCCTATGGCACTCGAAAAATAAATGTGTAAAAAATGATTATTATTTTGTGATCATTATTACCTATTCAATTTAATTCCATAAATGAGGCAAAAAAATAGACTGATGCAAGATGATGTAGTTTTAAGCCGGTTCCAGACTATGTAACAAAACATGTTAATAACAAAGTTGTACAACAAATTTGTTGAACAACTTTGTTACCGACCTCTGATGGATAACATAAAACATTCTATACTTATAACCTGCAAAATGTTGTACAACACTGTGTTTCAAAACCTTTTTATTTGAAATTCTCTAACAAGTTATAAAACTTTATTATTTAACATGTTTTGTTACAAAGTCTAGATCCTGCTTCAGTAATATATTTTATTTCAGAATAAAATTTCAAATTTATACATATAAATTGTACACTATTTAGTTACGTAGGTAAACGCTATATTTGATATTTTAGGTGAACATTACTACATAGTATTCACATAAACTTAACATGGTTGCTAAAAAAATTTTCTAAAATTTATACCTATAAACTTTACTTAAATGTCATAGATGTGTTTATAGGGAGAAGTTCCTACAGTTAAAAATTTTGGATCATGTAGAATCAAGATCTGCTTTATTTTTATCCGAGATGGTCTAAACTCGGAATGCATCTGCGCAAATTTCAGCACTACGCAAATTTTTCACCGATTGACTTACCTGTGAGCTTTTCGGATTTTGAAATATTTGACCCAGTATTGTCAAAGAATTTATCCTTTTTGCAATTACCAGGGATTTTATCTATATTTTCTGTTAAGTGAACTATATTTTAACTTGAAGATATTTTTAAGAAGGTCGATGCTACATAGTCAATGTTGAATATAGAACTATCGTTTTAGGTCAGAAAATTGACCTTAATGTTTTAATTAAAATTTTTAATTACTTACCTTCACAACTTGGTATAAATAAAGAATCTACGATTTACAATATGAAAGAGTTATGGATTTTTATTGCCATTCTGTAACTTGATGAATTTATTCAGGAACCTATGCCGACAGGACCAGAGGCTACTAGACACATAGGGGCTTCATCTTTGACAGCTTGACTATATTCGCCAAGGTCACCGCCTCGTTGCCGTAGTTTCGCTGAGACCGCCAAGTACAAGCTAATTGGTCTTTGTGTGTGTGTCTAGTAATAATAATAATAATAATAATAATAAAAATCTTTATTTGATTCTTTTACAATGATAAAGTTAAAACAAAATACATTGCATACCCGAGTAGGGTGTAAATCTCGTCATATAAAACAATTTTAATAATTTACTTACATAGTTATAATAATACAAACTTCAAAAACTAACATTTTCTTACACACACAATACATTTAAAAACATTTCCAAGAGAATAAATACATTCAATAAAATTGGAATACAGACGACAATAAAAAATTACCTTAATTATTTTGGTTAAACAGATTCAAAAAAATAAAAATAAAAATAACTTTTCACTTCAAATTCCCCACCTCTTGATCTTCATAAAATTCCACGATACTGTAATATGCCTTACTTTTTAGGAATTTTTTTAATTTATCTAACAGCAGTTCTTGGGGCAGTTTTCTAAAAACAATTGGCAAGTTGTTCCATAGTTCCATATTATTTTTATACTATAATTTACATTTTCTTTATTCCTTGTTTCATAAGGGTGATTTAATCTCTGGTCTAAAAATAAATCTGGATTTTTTGATATAAACTTCACACACTCTACTATGTAAAGATTAAAAACGGTTTGTATATTGTTGTCAATGAAATGTTGTTTACAACTTTCTCTATATTCGAGTCTTAATATCACTCTTAAACATTTTTTTTGTAATTTTAAAATCCTTAATGCACCACTCGAGCTCCCCCAAAATATGATCCCGTATCTGACCTTCGATTGCACAAAAGCATGATATGATGCGAGAGACGAGGACTTATCGACATTGTCTCCTAAGATTCGAAGAGCATACACCTGTCTCCCCAAAGCACCCGGGAGTTGGTCTATATGTTCTTTCCAGTCTAGCCTTTTATCAAGTACCACACCCAGATAATTCACTGAATCAAGAGTTGTATAGTCAAGTTCACTCTAATAAAAATCTTTTTAGTAAGTAGGTATAAAAAAAATCAATTCATATAAAAATGTGGACAAGGAAAGAAGGGAAAGCGAATTTTGTTTAGAAACGAAACACAAACACTGAATTATTGTTTATTAAACGTCCCATTTTTTTTGTAAATTTCTGTCTGTTGATTACCACAAAACTTAATTGCATTTAGCGTGTGGCCAAATGCAGCTGCTGTAGGCACCGTGGTGGGATGGTAGAAAAAGCAGTGTCGTTGAATTAAACAGGGTTTGGCAAGCTGTGGCATTGGCATTAGTGAATCGTAATCACCGTATCCGTGGCAGTGTAACATTCTGGTGAATTTAGCCACACGCGGATGGTAGGTTTCATTAGACTGAAGACACAATGATAAATACAAATTACAATAATGACAAGAGACAAAAATATTGCTACTCGTGTATCAATGCTATAACACAGAATAAATGGATACAAGATACAATTTACTTTTCACGCCAAAATTTCGATGTTTTGGTATTTTGTATCTGTCACTTATACCTTGTAATTTGTCATTGTGTCTCCAGCCTTACAGAAAAGTCGACCATACTATGAACGTGTTCTTTATTATTCTACGGTAATTTAACATGGATTCCAGAAACCATACAAAACAGCTTTTGGTTGTTAGTTGAAAAGTTATATTTGGCATTGGTTCAACCAACTTTGTAGCAAAGCAATTACACGATGAAAATCTTTCTGCTCTAAAAAAGAACGTGCCCAATCCCGTAATCGGAGATCTTAAAACAAAATAAAATATTTTTTAACAAACTCCGTTTTTATCTTCATTTTTACTGAGCTTGTCCCCCTTTAACATAATTTGTATTTCCTCCAAACTCTTTCCTTTCGTTTCAGGAATACAGAATGCAGAGTATAGCGCAACCATGAAGGCACACGCTGTAAACAAATAGAAGGGTACGTACATCCCAATTTTATGCAAAAATTGGTATAGCTGGATAGATGCTATGCCTCCCACGACAAACATAACGTCGGCTACTGTCATTCCGATAGCTTTCATTTTGGCAGGAAATATCTCAGCTGTTATAACTATCGGCACTAATCCAAGACCATATTTGAAAGCGCCAGCGTATACAAGGACAGAAGCTATTGGGATCCAGGAAACGGTTGACACATCGTAGCCAAGAAATTGCAAATGAAAGTAAACGGATAAAGCTAATAAGCAAACTCCGCTCAAGAAACTTGAAACTATTAGAATATTTTTCCTGCCATATTTGTCAATGGTGCACGAGGCGAAAATTGAGGCAATTAGCATGATGATAGCAAATATGATGGCAGTGATGTTGTTGTCCAGGTAAATTGAGCCAGCGGCGTTTAGAATCGGATGCAAGTTCATGTACATTACACTAATGCATGCCATATGCTGTCCTGAAAAAAAAATTGAAATATTAAATCTAGATTAAGAACTGGTTGCCACAAAACTTAGGCCTTGCACCGCATATACAATTTGCTCTACTGTTCAGGTTATCTGGATTTTAAAGCGACTTTTGACTAATTTGTTTTGTGAAGGGTGGTAGGAAGGAATTCAAATAACTTTGTGTGTATACTGTGATTTTTTCCATATGGCTAATATTGTGATGAGATTCGTCACATCCTCAAGAAGATTTGTGAGTTGCTAGACTCAAAAAACTGGCAAAATTAGACACATTCCTCAATTTATTGAAAATCCTAGGTTGTTTTATTGATTACCCTGTGAAACATGAAAATTTCAATCCTCCCACAAAACAAATTGCAAAATCTAGGCAAAAAGACCCAGATTTCTATGGCCTTACAAATTTAGAGCAATGTGAATAGACGCCTGCGCCCTGCTGTATAGGTGAAAATTAGTATAATTACCAGCATTCAGAACTGTCATTATGGTTATTGCCTTTCTATTACTAGAAACCAAAAGAAGATCTTGTGGTCGTCCTTTTTCAGTTTTCTGCCTTTCTATTCCCGCTGAAATATCTTTTAGTTCCTTATCTAAATCAATATCACTAAGACCAGGTCTTAGTCTTTCAAGAGATTTTTTGGCCTTCTCGGGTCTAAAATTTAAGATTTTTTTAGCATTATATTACTTCAAACTAATTTCTTCTTACTTATTTTTGTACAACAAATAATAAGGACTCTCTGGTTGAAACGTGAAAACCAAGAGTTGAATGCTAGCCAAAATAACTCCAGCAATTGGTATGGCATAGAAGGGGGCAAATGGTCCGAGGGTATAGACCAAAACAAGCCCGATCAGCATCATAATGTAAATGATAGAAGACAAAAATCCTCTTATTTTTGAATCAGCTATTTCAGCAATATACATTGGAGCTGCTACAAATGACATGTCACCAGCCATTCCAGCAAAAAATCTTTAAAAAAATAATTTTCTTTAGGTTAATAAAAAAAAATGTATATTAAGTAGTTATTACCTAGCTACAAAAATATACTCAATTCTATCGGCTAAACCAATAGCTATCCAGTTTAATAATACCACAACTGCGGCTAAAAGTAGAGACTTCTTCCTCCCGATTTTGTCTACAAAATATATCGTGAAGGGTAGTCCGCAGAATGATCCTAGAAGAGATATAGTTTCTAGCAATTCGGCCTATAAAACAAATTGAAAAATATTTACTACATAACTTTCGAATGGATTATTTTCTTACCTGTGTTTCGGTAGTAAATATATGTGATTCTTCACCTACAAGGTAAGGTCCCATAGGCGACGTCCAACCGAAGGACATTCCATCCGAGGCTGCTACCAAGGTTCCTGAAATTTTATTTATTTATCCATTGATAATATTGTTATAATTTTCAAATCAAAAATATAGGAATGGCCTGCATTTTTTTTAAGAATATTGCTTATAGTATGCCTAAAGATTAATTGGCCCTAAGTAGGTAACTCATAAATCGAAGTTTAAGTAGGTATTATTTGTTCATCCATTAGAAATGCTAGTGTGTTTATTTGTTCTGTTGCGAGTTTAGTAGAAATAATGATTTACGAAGATATATTGCCGTTCTTACGACCAAAAAGAAAATACATTAAAAAAATATTTTCTGGGTGATATTGACTAAATATTCCTAAAAAGATGTGTGTAACAAGCCCCTGCTTTGACAGATTGTATATTATATTATTTGAAACGTTTTTATTGGCACTTCAATGTAAAATGAGTCACGAATCAATGAAAAACTTATTCCTTGCATAATGATTAGTTATCACACACAAGAATATAAAACCAAATACATAATAGCTGATATTGTTTTATATAACGTTATTATGTTTACTTGTTCTTGCATGTAATACTGATAACATTATTGAGCAATAAGCTGTTAATTAATTAGTTTATCAAAAAGTAAACATGCAAACTATTTTTTTTTTGAACATAGTTTCTTGATCACATTAAATTCAAATTAATTTTACCCATGTTACAGAATAGAAAATCTCAACTGATGCATTCTCCAGAAACAGGTGTAAGGTCAGGTGACCATTGGCGCGGAAGCCACTAATTCACATTCCTTTGGAGTATCAGATCATAAAAGTTGAACAGTAAGTTATACTCCTCCATTATACTTCTGAACTTAATGGTGTTGCGGAAAAAATGAATCAAACACCAATGGACAAAGCCAAGGTCTATGATCATGCAAGCAAAAATGGATGGGATATTTTGGGAAGATGCTGTACTTGTTGCTGTGTAAAACCAATTTAAAAAGTCACATGAAAAAATATCAAATATCATCCCAGGTAAGTTTAGTCTCAAAATTTGGCAAGAAAAACAAATTTTAAGTGAACCTCGCTAGCACAACCACTGTTGCAGATAAAGTCAAGTTGATCCTGATCACTAAAAAAAATAATTGAAAACACAACACATCGAACTAAGAGAGAAAATTACCAGTTTTGAGCATCTGGAAACATTAAAGAAGATAAGGTACAGCTCCTCTGGATGCCATGCAAATCTTCAAACGCACTCGTAGGAAAAGTATTGTTCCTAACACTTGATGCGCAAAGTGTCTTTCCCGCACTGAAAACTTTATCCGAACTCCGCTTTGTGTACGTCGTTCGTCTAACTGCTTTTTCGTGCGGGAAAGTATCATTTTGCGGACTTGTTAGGAAAATAACTATTTTTATGTAGGTATGTATTACACACCTTTGAATTTAACTTTAGTTTGGTTGTGTGTTTTGTGTTATATGGTATTTGTTTCTTGAAAGTCGATTTCTCAGGAAAATAAATAATTTCAATTATCATCGTTTCAATGGGCAGCCCAAACATTTTTTCAGTGGCGGCTCGCAGGCTAATAATACGGAGCCATGGTACTACCTTATTTTTAGGTAAAAATTATAGAAGCGGGCGAATATGCCATCAAGATGTGTGATTTTAACAACTTTTGGGCGTGGCACCTGGTCTGCCCCCCCCCAGAGCCACAGGCTGAATATGCCACTGTACTCGATGTCCACCAGAATTAGCGGAAGCAACATCAAAGTTAACATCATGCTTCAAGAAATGCTGAAGAATGACAGCTACATGCTATCTACTACCTCAGATTGATGATATTTAAATAATTTTGAACATTCAGCGAAAAAGAAAACCGATCGATGTAGTTTCATACTGATCGGGGAAGGAAGTTTGAGTCCGAATGATGGAAACAACTGACGAGGTTACTAGGAATAAAGAAAACGAGAGCTGAGACGGTGATAAACTGTGGGGCCTCGATTTTTCCTTTTGGCTGTTGCCCCTGGAAGATAAATGAAGCTTCCCGTAGATCTAGGGCAGACCACCAGCCGATGAAGACGCAGCCGATGTACTTCCAGTTTATGTAGCTGATCTCCAGGAGAGACTCACGATTTCGCTAGAAATTGGCTACATCTACACAGTGACAGAATGAAGATGAGACATACATTTTTTTCCCCTAATTTTCACTATATTTTCACTATTTAATTACACAATAACATGTTTCGCTATACACTGTAGCTTCATTAGACTAACTTAAACTATGCGATTACACTCTACATGTAAACTTAATTTTCCTAGCAGGTACATGATTTGACTGCAACAAAAACGGTAGGTATTTGCATTGTATCCCTTATGTGAAAATATATTAAAGATGAGTTTTACTTTTCCCAACCGTAAATTTTTTCATGTTTTCAATTTGAATTTGGACTAGAACTAGGTACAGTAGACCTCCAATCTGGTGGATTTAGAACGACTTCAAGTCTCCTTAGTGCCTTTTCTCAGAAACTATACTAATCAAACAATACGAGTTCCTCCTCTAAACGCAGCATTTTGGTGTAAATTTTGATTGCTAATGGTAAAGAAATCTGAATGTTTATTATAGATAGTCAGACTTTTTTTTTTCAATAGGTATCTGAAAAAATATCTGTGTTTCTCAAGTTACGGTTTAGCTCAATGTCATTGATGAGTAGGTAATTTATTGAAAAAAAGGTAAATAAGAAGGTAGGTTCGGCCAAAAATCAGTGAAATGTGAGCAAATAGTTCCTCATGAACAAAACCTTCGACACAAGCACAAACTAGGAAAAAATATTATCTGCCGATTATAAAACAAAGTAACTTAAAATCATTATTTGAACATAACATTATTTAAGCAAACACCTAGGAATGTTTTTCAAAAAATCCATGCTGAAATATAGTGGTCTAACTAGATATAAAACTACCAAGGCCATAATATTTTCGTAAATAATTTTATTGCTATAAAATAAAAACAAATCGATAAACTCTTCAGGTAAAACAAGAAATTATTAATAAGGTGATACCTATACATAATAGTTACTAATTAATTAGTTAATAGGATGTGGAAGTGAAGAAATTTTCGCTGATAAGGGGAAAGTGAAGTACCTACCTATGAAGCTGAATAATATTAAAATTATCCTCACAAATGAAAAATCAGTCAGTAATAATCGATAATATTTGCTTCTAACATCCCCAATTCCATTCCCTCAACAATCCTTCATCATGTGTGATAGGTACCTATGTCCAAAATTAGAATAGCGAGCCTAAATTTAGGAGACACCCAAAATTTTTGAAAAAAGCACCTACACAATCCAGAATTAATTTTTAATTTTTGAAACATTGATAACAAATTTGAATTTTTACACCCTGTTTCAGAACAAAAGGACACATGTTTAGAAGAATATTTTTCAATTTCCATAAGACTTACTATACCTACTTACATATTCTAGAATTTTGTTTCGTGTTACTCATTCAATTCAAAATTATTTGTTGCTTTTTATTTCGTGTCTTTGATTCTCCCCACTCATGTCATATTACCATAGCGTACCTAACGTATTAATTTAATTTTTGAGCATATATTTCAAATGGACTCCCATGATATGAATTTTTAAGAGTTTTCAAAATTTTCAACTTACCCGTCACTGCAGCAAGAATCTGAGTTCCAGTATTCCTAAAAATATTTATATTTTTCACAGTCATTTTGACACTGCCACTAATTCCAATGCTCGCAGATTTTCAAATAGTAAAAGAACCAAATTAATCGAAACTAACAGATATAACAGAAAATTATTGCTAGAGGTTATCTCTTTAAAGAAACCCAAACCACGGAAAATGTTTATGTACTTTTATTATTGCAAAATAGTTTTGAGAGCGAAGCCAGCAAACAGAAACCTATTGACACTAAGCGAGTAGATACGATTTTCGTAATTTATGTTTTATAATACTATTATGTCAAAGATTAACCGAAAATCTAAGATATAATAAATTGTTGTTTTTCATAGTTTTGAGCACATAGCGACCAAGGTTCTTGTGTTCAAAGCTGTTGTCGAACTTTTATTGAAGCAAAAGATCCGTACCTACTAGGAATTGTTGTTGCTTTTAGACTTTATCGAGCTTAGCATTTATTTGCATTTTCCTTTTACCAGTAAAACATATAAAATAACCAAACAAGTTTTTTTTTCTAATTATCTATGCTTAAAAATCAGGGCGTAGCTTTTTAATTTTTTTTCATTTGAATAAAATAGGTGCACTCAATAATGATAAATGTCATTTATTAAGGAAGTAAATAAGTAGCGATTACAAAAAGTATATAGGGAGCTAAGCTGAGAATGAAGCGGGACCCTCAAAAAATTAATGTAGGTAAGGCTTCAACTTTTGTAATTTTATTCCGATTGTCCAGTGTTAGAAAGACACTAAGGAAGGACCCTTTGATACGCACCCCAGTGGTGGCAGAAACTATTTCATCGATGCTTTTTTTTATACAGAAATTTCTCGACATGTAGAATAATTAATTATTCTCAACGAGCTTTCTAGACCGGTGCGTACCTCGTTGCATGCATGCAGCGTGTTCACTGTATTTGATAAATGAAAACATAAACATTGTAGGTCCTGTAGGAAATAAAACCATAAAATTGATAAGAGAAATATATGAAACAATTGAACTATTTTTTATAAGTCGAGTAAATATGAAAGACATAAAACAATAATTGGGGAAACAAATCAAGAAGAAACTTTCCAAAAAACTATAAATCAGTAGGCAGTGTAGGTGTAGGCACCAGCCAGCAGGCGACAGAACTGAACACTGAATAACTTAATCTGACCCTAAAAAACAACAAAAACTTAAGGCCACTATTAAGTCTTTAGAGAAGGCAGGGAAAAACGATAAATGAAAAGGGGTCTATATTAAGACCAAATGGGGAGATGTCCGAGAACATAAAACCCTAAGCGGCCTAAGCCATTAGTCACATGATCATCTCAAGGTTCCAAACAAAACCAATAAATAACGCACATGCGACATGTCACACGTCAAAAGTCTCGAAAACTGGTCACACGTCACAACAGAAAGGAGCCGTGAGGTGAAGGATCTTCAGAATTTAGATTCGCCAAATTTCAGAAGAGTTGTAAGGCCGACTCCTGCCATTTATTTTAATAAAAACTGTATCTAGAATTCTCAACCCACAAATTTTTTTGTTACCACTCAAAAACAAAAATTAATCACGTTCTCCTAATGTTGCGTCATATTTTCCACAGAATTCTCAAATTATGCATGGTGACAAATTCAGCATCCTGAGAGAGTAAGCATCAGCCAAAAAGTAGTGGGAATCAGCCAAAAAGGAATGTACATCAATAACATCGCCAGGAAAAAACTCTGTACCTACTTGTCAATCGAATTTACCCCGGAATAAGTGAACATAAGTGGCAATGCTATACGGTTTTAGGGCGAGTAAGGGTATCTACTATCGGAGTAATTACGTTCCAGGAAAAAAAAAGGTTCTATGCGAGGGGTAAACAGCTGACCAAAATGTGTACACCAAAAATCCATTTTTTTTAAATAAATCCACGAAATCCACAAAAATCCGCAGAAATCCACAAAAATCCGCAGAAATACAAAATCTTTGTGGAAATCTATAGACTTCGATGGATATCCACAGGAATTCACGATCAGATAACAGTTAAAAACCTGCCGAAGTTTAAAACTAGTAACACAAAATGTAGGTATATTATGTCTCAGGCACTAATGTTCTTAAGACTTTTTCTCATTACCGTCCATAGGTTCATAAAAATTAACTCTGCCGACACTTCAGAAATATCATCTGTTTTACGCCACAAAAATTCTATTTCACTCTTTTTTTTTTTGTCAAAAAATTATTCACAACGTATATTCATTATCGCCATTTTTGTGATTTTAAACCTTAATACCACTGTTGTCTGTGCTCATAATATAAATAAATAAATAAATAAATAATGTCTTTTATTTGTTATAGACAATTACTACAAATAATAGTTTCTGAAATGGTGGCGAGATATAGCTTAGAGCTACTCTTTTCTAACCACGCTTTAATCTAATAATAATTAAAGAATAATTTGATAAAGTAACTAAAGACAGTATAAGAAACAAATTGACGTGATATATGGATAACTTAAAAAGTAGACACAAATACACGGCTAATATCATTTATATGTAATAATCATTGCTTATTTCCACGAACGAATGCCCTTGGCTTATTTTTAAACCCAGGTACGGAGGAGCCATCCAACATTTCGAGGGGCAGGGAAATAAAAAATTTTGTGGCATTATACGTGAAAGATCGCTTGTAATTGTGCTTTGGGACGTTCAGTCGATTGCAATGTCGGGTCGATCTGCTATGAGTTTCAGACCTGCGGCCAAGTTTGTCATATAGATATGCAGGCTGTTTACTGCGCAAAACTTTAAAGGTCAACGTTGCCATATGCATAAAAAAGCGCTCCTGTAAATTAAACCGCTTGGATTTATCGAAAAGAGGGGTAACATGATCGAACTTACTATAACCATAGGCAAATTTGAGGCATGAATTTTGGATTTTTCGAAGACTATATCTGTCCTTTTCTAGTAGGGTAGGCCAATACATAACATCACAATACGTTAGGCTCGATAGAATCAGTGTATCTCACAGTCTGAGCCCAAGTTAGGCTCGATAGAATCAGTGTATCACACAGTCTGAGCTTAACATCTATTGATAAAAAGTCCCGATGTAGATATGAGGTGCACAATTTAATATATGCCTTTCGTAGCAGAGTGGCTACATGAGGTTGACGCCGCAAATTGACATCCAAGACAACGCCCAAATTCCTACAAGAGTTCACAGGTATCAGCCGCTGATCATCGATTCTAACAACAAAGTTACGGTCATGGCACAAGGAATTGCGGTTTTTACCGAAAATCATGCACTGGGAATTGGGATTTTGCCCTGTTCAGAATCAGCCGATGCGATCTCGAAACACTGGTCATGGTATTTAGATCACTATTCTAAAGCTTTTCAGGGCTGGAACTCTGTAACGGATAGATATCGTTATCCCTATCGCTATGGGACATCGCTATGGGACTTGCTGTCTTCTTCTCTCTTCTTGAAATCAATAGAGAGGGGTCGTCAATAGAGATAGAGAAAATATCTCTATTCGTTACAGAGTCCCAGCCCAGCTATCCTAATGTCAGATGCTATGAAGGAATAATACAATTGCGTGTCATCGGCATGCACGGTGCAATATTGCAAAAACGCTGGAAAATGAGAGATGTGTATGGAAAACAGCAAGGGTCCGAGTATGCTACCCTGGTGACTGTTGCATATTCAGATTGGTTTCCCCCTATCACACACAACTCTCTGCCTCCTATCATGTAAATAGCTTTTTATGAAAAGAAGTGAAGACACATCCATACCAAAATATTTCAATTTAATACAGTGTGCTATGATCCAAAGTGTCAAAGGCTTTGCTATAGTCCAGTAGTACGAAAGCAGCATTTTGATCCGAGGCGTGAAACAAGTCATCGGGTTACTTTTAATAAAGCAGTGGCCGTACTGTGTTCGAAGCGAAAGCCTGACCGTATGGTAGAAATTATTTTATTCGTAGAGAAAAATGTGTTAAGTTGTTCATAAACCACCTTGTCGAACAACTTGGACAGAGTGGGTAAAATGCATATTGGGCGAAACTGAGTAATACTTGTAAGATTGGAAACCTTGTATGTATGTATGTTTGTATGTATGTGTTGGAGGTGTCAGTTGCACTGCGACCAAGGTTGATCTATTGTACCCCTCCTTCTGCTGCTAAGTTAGGGTTTCCTGCCCAAAGCAGCCCCTCTAGTCCTAGGTCCTCTAGAAATTTTAGGCTGTCTAGCGGTTCCAGGGCTGGAATGTCTTCCAGCTGTATAAGGGGACTTCCCAAGTTCTTTATTCTTGAGCGACTAACGGCATTGCAGTTCAGTAGAAGATGGTGAGGTGTTTCTTCACCGTCTTCACAGAATCTGCAAGTGTTACCTTCTTCCAACCCCAGATTATGTAGGTGCTTATTCAGTCTGCAATGTCCCGAGAGAAACCCGGTTAGAGTTTTGATACTTTTCTTGCTAAGGTTGACCAGCAGTTCAGATCTTTTTTGGTTGTAGCTACCTAGTAGATCTTTGGCCTGTCGTAGTCCTGGTTGGTCTAGCCATTGTTTGTTCCTTAGCCGGTTCTCTTCCTTTTTGAGGATTTCTTGGAGGTGCGCATTTCCGACGCCGCAGAATGGTTCTGGCCCAGTGAAGGGAGTGGCCGCTCCTGTTTCTGCAAGTTCGTCTGCGCATTCATTGCCCTCGACTCCTATGTGTCCAGGAACCCAGAGTAGGGTTACCTTGTTTTCCTTCCCCAGCTCATTGAGTTTCTGTAGACATTCCCATACTATATTAGAATTGATTACCGGCGAGCTCAATGCTTTGATAGCTGCTTGGCTGTCAGACATTATTACAATTTCTCGTATTCGGTACCTTCTGTTCAGGTTGGAGCCGTCTGTGAACCATTTGATGGTGTTTGCTTTAAGGGACTGGATACATTCTATGTTCCATTTGTTCTTTGTACTTAGTTCGATGGAATTTTTTTTCTCGAAACTGAATGTAACAAAAATCACGTCTTTTGGTAAGTCCATGAGGTGTGCACAATTTGGGAGAGGGAAAGCTCTGCCAAAGTGCGTTTTCCCTTGTAGAATTATCTTCGCCAGTCTTAGACATGATTCACTGGCAACCCGCTTCACTGTTGTGTGAAGTGGTGTTAGGTCTAGGATGCCTTCCATTGCCGCGGTTGGGCATGTTCTCATTGCTCCAGTTATGCATAGACATGCGAATCTTTGTACTTTTCCTAGGGTTTTCCTAGCCGTTCCTAGCTGGGTTCGGCTGTACCAGGTTACCGCTCAGTAGGTGATGATAGGTCTCACTATCATGGTATACATCCATCGTAGAATCGATGGGTTACAACCCCACGTTTTGCCCGCAATGTTTTTACACACCATGAGTGCCGAAATTGCTTTGTTTGTTATGTTCTCTATATGTCGGTTCCAAAGGAGTTTAGAGTCTAGGGTTATTCCTAGGAATTTAAGTTCT